CATGTAGTGTGAGACCACAGGAAGTCTTTCCTCTTATATCACACAGATATCTGATCCTCACTGACATGAATGTGGATTTGTCTGTCAATGCCAAAGCAGATTTTCATGGGCTGCCTTGAATCAATCCATAAAAAAGACATTCTTACACTGCTAAATGTCTTCAGAAAAGGAGATGCTGAGGACTGGATTGAAATCCATGGCATCAGTTATTTTTAAGTCAAGTTCAAATATGCAGGATTTTCACAAGTGCACGACTGAAGCTGACACAGCCCAAGTGCACACACTCCATTATTTAGTAAAATTTCACTGAACATAGCATCAAAATGGTTTTCTAGTTGGGAATTGAACCAGGGCTTCTCCGAGGCCTTTATATCCCTGGGAGGTTTGCTGCTCTGCTCCCAGCTGAAGGCGTCTGCTGGAAAAACAGGGCCCCAATAAGCCCAGGTTGTGGAGAAGCCTGATCTATTTGCTACAGGAATTCTACAACAAGCCTTGTGTTCAGAAGCAATGACAGAGAACAGCACTGATATCATGGGCCTCACTGTGTCCTGGTCAGTGGCCAATGCAGGGAGTTCTAGATGTTTGAACACAGGAGGACTCTCTTCATAGTGCAGACACATGTATCTGATATCTCTCTTTGAGATGGTGTGACCCACACTGGATAAGTACTGACCACTTAAATCCAATGATCATCTGAAATAAAATCTATGTAAAGTGTTTATGGTTATAAAAAGAATACATTCTGCGTTGGTGAACTTTGGAGGCAAAAATGTACACAAATGTAAAGAAATGAAAATGGTGTCATAAAGAACCAATCTGACTGATGCAGTTTGTGGATGTTTACACAGTCCTAGAGTAACCAAGCTCTGAACTAATCTCTAATGCTGTTGGTGAGTAAAGAGTGAAAGCTAGGCTGGTTTTAGACCATTAGTGGCCACTGGCCTCAGTCCTGACCATGTTTCTTGTTCTTCTGTTAATATCTAGTACTCCAATGCTCTGAAGAACCCATCGGTCTGTCTTGGCTCATGATACAGGTACAGAGACCTGAAACCACTGACGGTGAAACCAGCCTGAACCTCTCATTCTCCACTGAGGCGAGCATAAGGGATCAGGCCCAGTGGTGCTCTCAGACTCCACCAATGCACGTCTCAAAACATGTTTGACAACCTGGATGACCACGTAGCTCTACATCCATCTTCATTAAAAATACAAATTACTTGAGAGTGTTTGGCATGCAAACATACACACTCGACATGCAGTGAGTGAGTCCAGTGTGGACATGCAAACACACAGGAACATGAGCTCATGCACATGCACACAGGCTCAAGGGCACAAGAGCAGGTCCAGGAGGGACAGATCAGAGACAGGAGAGCAAAAGTAGACAGAGTGACACCTCCCCCTCCCAGTGGGTGCTGGCACAATCTGTGAGCAGGGGTTCTATACACTACACAAGGGCTTCTCAGGACTACCAACAGCACCACTACACGCAGCTCAACAGTACAGTGTGGGTCAGAGGTCAGCATGAGGTCAGCATGAGGTCAGCATGAGGTCGACATGGTCAGATTCAGAGAGGAGAGAGGAAGAGGAGGGCGGCTACAGGCTGCAGAGGACACGCTCAGAAACACAGAGAGGGACAGTCAGGGGACACTACATTCAGTGCACCACATCAACCTGGACTATACTCCCCATGCAACCACAGGCACAAGAGCACGCCACACACTACAATATCCACACACTGACAGAACCTGACCCAGTATGCTCCTATGTGAGCTGGCTGCTGTTGGCTGGAATTCTAACTGTGTGTGTCATAGGACTATGGTACAGTTTTGTCAGACAGTAGGGGGAGCTAGAGGAAGTAGACACAGTAGTACACATGTAATACTGGTAGACAGACACTCCTGTTGGGACAGTGTGACAGTGTGAGAGCTGCTTCTGTGGGGGTATAGAGCTGCTTGGGTGGAGATACAGTCATTTGTTGAGTCCATTTAAAGGCCTTTACAGAGCTGCTTCTCAGGAGGTTGAGTCATTGAGTCAGTGAGTTGTATTCAGTTGAGTCCTTTTAAAGCTCTACGTGCTGTTTTGGGCCACACAGGAACACAAGACATATACAACACATATGGTGTCAGATACACTGAGCTGTGATCTGAACACTTCTGAAGCCTTTCACTCTCATGTTGGACGTATGTTAGAAGGACACAGAGCACATCAGTACATCAGCACAGCTCCTATTTACACACCCACCACTGCCACTCACTGGTCTTCTGCAGTGGCTCCTGAGGCGCAAATAGAGTGCACCAGATGTACAGGATGTACGTGTGAACAACCCATGAGGAAAAGGAGAGAAAGCCTCACCACCAGGTGGCACTAATGAGCTTTATGTCCACCCTGTAACATCAGAAACACTGAAACACCTACACTGCACAAGGAGTCAGAGCTCTCAACATTGAACTCTCTGCACTGCTGCATTATTATAACAGTGTAAAGAAAGCGGAGTAGGAGTGTCCTGAGCCCATCAGAATGAACCATGAATCAGAATGAAACCATCCACTTTACAGACAGCACAGGGAAAATATAGATGGTTTACCAGTGTCTCACAAAAGGGGACTCTCTAAACCCCCATAGTGTCTTTTTCATTTTCTGATTGAAAAAAAAAAAAAAAAAAAAAAACAGGACCTAAATAAACAGAATCTTTTTTTTTTTTTTTTTTTTTTTTAAGAAACTGTGTGCTTGGAAAAGCTAAAGAACAAAATCACAAAATAATTTCTATTACCATACTATTCCTGTGAAAAGTGCAGCTGACAGACGGAGGTCAGATGTTGGGTGGGAGTCCTGACCGTGTGACTGGTCAGAGCTTAGTGGAGGTGTGGGGGCTCTTACCGTTGGTCATACCCGGAGAGAGGTGCTCTCTGTCTGGATGTCTGCGCCGGCTCATGTCCCGGGACTGTCTGCTGGGCTGGGGCGGCTGACCCTCCAGCAGGTTCACTATGTCCATGCGGTCGATGCTCTTGAGTGCAGCGTACAGACTCTCCACTGGAACACAAAGCCCACAGCGTTAGGTCAGGACCACTTATGTCCAGGCCATGTGCATGAGGTTAGACTTACTCTTGGCCCTCTTGCCCTCCCTGGTGGCCCACAGGTTGAGCAGGGCTGAGCTCTGTTCCAGTAGAGAGTTGGGGTTCTCCACTCGGATCTTGTTGATGTCATCTACACTCAGCTGGAGCTCACGGGCCAACTCTGCTCACAGCCGCAAAGCAAGAAAAACATTCAAAATCAGATTTACAGAATCTAGTTTTATTACTACTATTACTGTTCTTCTTGTACTTTGTGACATAGCATTTTTTTCTTTTGCAGTAGAAATTAAGGTAACTCTATGTTATTTCCAAGTTCTTTCATTCTGTCCTCAGACAAGACACTTCACCTGTGACTGTGGTGTGTGTGAGTGTTGTTGGTTGATGGTGCAGATTGACAGTCTCACTTCTGTTAGTTTACCCCAGAACAGTGGTGTAACTTACCACCACTGAGTATGGAGTAAAATGAATAATGCTCTATAAAGCACTTATATAAATCCAGTGCATTATTATTATTATTATTTAGTACTTCAAATATTAGAGAACCTGTAAAATACAATCTTTGTCTTTGGTGTTTTACGGTGTAAATATTTTGTGACTCTACGCTTCAGGGGATTCACATGTGGTGTTACCTTAGTATCCAACTGCATCTGTTTTATGAGCTCTGTATATCTTGAGGCATAGCACTGTAACTGTGTTGGTCTGATTGGTGACTCCACCTGTCAATCACACTCTCTGAAATCAGGATATGGCTCCACATCCACTTGCTTTTGTAAAGTTTAGTTAAAGTGTGTGCTTCTGGACAGGTAATGAGTAGGTATAATTTAGGCTAAGACTGTAGAAAATAGATTTACTCTTTGACAAGTTCCAAATATTATGCCAATGTACTTCTGAAGATCAACAAAACAATGCATGTGAGTGTGTGATTTGGAAATGCAAAGCTAACCGGCCCAGCTCAGCCCCAGCTGCTCTGCGATCACCGCCATCTTGAGCTCTGTGCGCTCCATGGCGCTCATCGAGGCTGCGCACACAAACATCAGTGTTACCAATCAGTGAAGACCTGATATTTCCCACATTTATTAAAGAGTTGTACCCATGGCCGGCTCGTTCAGGGCGCTGTATCTTTCCCTCAGAGCCAGGGGGGTTAGGGTTCTTCGGCGGTCTTCACTCCCCATCATCTGCACAGAAAAGCCCCGGCGGTTCAGGCTGCATGTTCTAGTAGAGTGTGTGAGCTGGGGCAGGCTCACCTTAATGCACGGAGGCATGGTGATGTTCAGGTTACACAGGACGTGTTGGCTGTCCTCATACTTTGTGGTTTTACGCAAAAAAGACAGTAGGCCTGCAGGCTCTTTACTGCTGTCTCGGACCTGTGCATCAGATGAGAAAGAAGTTAGGACGAAGCAGCGCAGTTTGTTCGTTCAGTCAGTTTTGCTTCTTTGTATATGGAGATATGGCTAAAACTGACGGCTGATAAGCTCTGCTGATATTTTTGGGCCCACATGTGGTGCAGATTTTGATTCTTTTCCTCTAATTATGTCAGTTAAATGTATTAAACTCACCCACAGCCTCTTTTTCTCCACAAATTTTGTGAACTTATTTCTTCACACTTAAGTGTTCAAACTTTAAAGGTATTTTTACACAGCAAGTTGACAAAACTAAATATCAGCCTGTCTTAATATTTAAGGCCGATGGCTGATACACTAAAAAGTGCAAATATGGGCCAATATATTGGTCGGTCTCTGTACCCTTCTAGCTTCTAACAGAGTGTAGAAGGGACTGGCTGGTCAAGAGGCATGATGAGTAACTACAGATAAAGTCAGTAAAGTGACAGAAAGCTGTGTGTGCTTCACCTTGACAGAGACGGGCAGCCGGTTGTCCCTGAAGGCCTGGAAGCTGAAGCAGCGTGGCTGAGCTGTGGCCTTCCTCACTGGAATCAGGTTTCCAGAACACTCCAGATGAAGAGGCATCCCCTCCATCACCTGCAACACACACGAGGCAGACCAGAGTCACCTGTGGTCCTCAGGTCAGTGTGTTTAGTGTCCGTGTAGATTAAAAGTGGCTGGTTTGGATGCCCACTTTTTACACTTTCTGGATCATCTCAGTGAAGTTACCTCTATGTCCCTGCTGCGGGCCACCTCAGTGAAGTTCTCGTGCTGCTCCAGAGTCTTGTCCATCTTGTCATCAGTCATACAGTAGCAGCGTAGCCGTCCCTCGCGCACTTCATTCATCTTGGCAAACACTACAAACTTGGCCATGTATGGTACTGCCGACAGCTCCTTGTACAGCAGGTTAGCGAAGGACACCGCCTCAGCGGTGCGGGGGCAGTCTGCCAGCCAGAACCTGACAACCACAGGAGGAAGGCACACAGAACCTGCTCAGCTTTAAGTTACAAATGCTTGTATAATTTTGGCAGTGATCTATATGAGTGTTCTTCTCAGTGGCAGTGGAGTGTAGCAGACAGATGTCCTTACCGTGCAGACACATTGGTGGTGAAGCTGGCACAGTCGTTGGCGTAGATGAGGCGTGTGGTCCCTGTGATGTCCTCCCACTGTGCAGGAGCTGTTCCCCCTGAGAGCAAAACACCGGACTCTATGTATAGAAAAGCCATTTTCTAAATACAGAACAGTGGCTGTTTTGCCAGCAGAGGGCAACAGGAGTGCGCCTGCGTGTGCACTGATGAAAGCAGCTGCTTATATCTGACTAAAACAGCTGCTGCCCTGGACATGAGTGTAATCCCTCATGTGTTTAGGAGCGGTGCATTGAAAAGGTTCCAGAGGCATATGTCATATGAGTGACAGTCTTAAAATTGGAATAATATTGAGATGACTATGTTTACAAGCTTTTCTGTCTAACACTAAAATTCTAGCAAAACTGATATTTAATAAAGATTGGCCTGTTGTTCACCTCAGGCAGTGTCTTTCAACACCCCCAGTTCTGCAGTGACAGAAGAAGGTCTTGGGAAAGTACTGCAGTCATCACCATTTACCATTCAATAAAAACACAGGAATGTGTCGCAGTAACATTTGAAGTTGACATAGCTGCTAATGAATCGATATTTTAGTCTGCAAATGACTTGGATAAGTTTCACAAAAAGTGTTCAGTGTTTTTGATTGGACTTGATTTGCTTTTGAGATACCTCAAGATGATATTTCTCTGCTTCTGCTGTTGTTTATTACCATGTGCCCTCACTGTACTGGACTGTATATATCTTGTGTATACTGGACTTGTGTATATATATATATGGACTTGTGTATATCTTGTGTATACTGGACTTGTGTATATATATCTTGTGTATACTGGACTTGTGTATATATATATCTTGTGTATATACTTGTGTATATCTTGTGTATACTGGACTTGTGTATATATATATATATCTTGTGTATACTGGACTTGTGTATATATATATCTTGTGTATACTGGACTTGTGTATATATATATCTTGTGTATACTGGACTTGTGTATATATATATATATATATATCTTGTGTATACTGGACTTGTGTATATATATATCTTGTGTATACTGGACTTGTGTATATATATATATCTTGTGTATACTGGACTTGTGTATATATATATATCTTGTGTATACTGGACTTGTCTACTCTCCTAATGTACTTTACACAAGATATGTGGGATTTGCAGAATTCCCAGAGAGGTGGAGAAGTACCTATAACGGAGCAGAGCAGCCTCAGACTGGTGGTGTCCCCCTCCCCAGAGTCCCGGGGGCTCTCTCTCCAGGAGGGGGGCAGGGGGATGCGCAGACCAATGGGCCGGTGGAACTTCCTCCTGCGAGGCTCCACAGTCACCACCGGGCTGAAGTTAGCCTGGTTCCCCAGAAGTTTGGCTACCAGCTCGTCCGGAACTGGCTGGGCCTGTGGGCGGGGTCAGGGGCAATGCATACACCAGCCAATCAGACAACAGGGTGGAAGCATCAGTACATTATTAACATCATGGCTCATGCATGGCAATGGATGTCGAACATAGGGAAAAGAAAAGGAATACTATGGGCTGAGAAGCAAAAGGGGGCAGGCAATACTTGGTTAAAATCAGGCTGAAACTCTCCAAAAAAAGAGTGTGAGAAACTTTGCTCATCCCAGAAGATATATATAAACATATATATATAAAAAAAAAAAACATGTTGCAGCTCTTGCTAAAATAAAATATCCACTTCTTTTACTCTAAAAAAAAAAAAAATGAAATAAAATAGGTGACCATGTAGGTTATTTGGCCTATTAAATGATTAACATTATAGAGCAAACAGTTTTAGTGTTGTGTGTGTGTGTGTCTGTGTGTGAATGCGTGTGTGTAGGTGGTGTGTGTGTGTGTGTGATCTTTTAGGTTTAATTGAATGTGGATTGTGAACGTGCCCTTCAGATTCTGAGCCCTGATTCTCAGCTGATATTTCTCATAAACTCATGTAAACAATAGGAACACAAACAGTATCACTTATGCATTTGCCTTTTATTGGACATGATCAAAAAGTTACATCCATAGATACAAAGTGATATCAAAGATATAAGGCACAGTGGTACAAACCTGTACAGCCCCCATCACTCTAGTACAAAGGCCCCTCGTGAACTTAAAGGCACATCTGATAAAACCCTCAGGAGTGCACACCATTAAAGGAGACATTCTGCACTTTATTTTTGCCCATTCATTCAAGGACACTTAAGCATTGGCCTTTCAGGTTATAAAAACAGCCCCCACACACTACTGCAAGTATGTTTGATGAGGACATTTACATTTTTGTAAATAAGTCAAACTTCCAGTATATGAATTTGGCACAATATGTCTCCTATAGAATTAAAGAAACTGTATGTAAAATTGTGATTTTAAATGTCCTCAAACTGAAATAAACCTGACATGTTCAGATCAAATATAAACCTTACTGATAAGAAAAGCAGAATGAGCCTGACATGACTCTTTCTCATTTGGGTTGCCAGTTTCAACGCTGAAATCCAGTATGTTTGTTTAAACCTGAAATGCTTCTCTCTGCTCTGAACAGTCTCGACCTAAACCCCAGCACCTGAGTCAGTGCTAGTGCAGCCTCTGCGGCTCAGGGATGGAATTCTGGAGGCTCTACTGTGAGTGAGACAGTCTCAGATGTGTCTCTGTGTGCAGGTGAAGGCTCTGGGGACACAGGTTCAGTTGTGTTTGTTGTATATTTGTTTTAAAATAAGTACAGGTTCTATACAGTTCTCTTAAAAAAAAATTGGCATTGCTGAGGAGGCCTGGGTTTCTCACTAATCTGTGCACTAAAGATTTTTATTTTATTTAATTCTTGTGTGACTCAAGATCAAGTAAAAGGGCGGAGAAAAGGCACACAATAAAGTTACAAGTGTTAGTAGATAAATGATAAAACTTACTCTAGATTTAGGTCCATTCTACTCTACATATTAAGGCTTGTTATTTGTATATTTATATTTATGATCCTTTTATACTAAATAGTCTTGTCATTCAAATATAATATGGAAAAACATCAAATATAACTTAATGTGTATAAATTTATATGTAAAAAATTGTCTATTCAATATATTTGTTACAATGTTATACAGACACTTTATGATGGCCTATTGTCATTCACAGTGCTGCAGATATCAGGCGTCAGTTCCATGGGTCTTTGGTGCAAAAGTGATCAGTCTTCCAGCACATAAGACTATAAACATTCATATTTCATTTCCATATAAATATACATCTCTCTATATATAATCAAAAATCAATAAGTGCAGAGGATTTGAAAAACAAGATGAATACAGAATCATATCAGTATTGACAATAGCCTTGTTTCGACCAAGCACTCCACTGTCCAGTAACCTGCTCTGCTTTTCAACGAACGAATCAAGGAAAAGTTACAAGATGATGTTTTAGTCATTAGAATCCAACGTTCTTAGTTTGAAGGAACGAATGGTTTTGGTAAAATATCAGATTAATAATGAACAGTAAGTCCCCATGGAGAGACTCATTTAAACTCTAGTTTGCTTGTTGAACTTAAAGCTTGAGGAACTTTGAGAGCTCTTTCTCATATTTAAAGCCTCGTTCTACTGGAACAAATACACCGACAACTGGACCATGGAGTGCTGGATGGAAACAAGTTCTGATGAGTCTTATGAAGGTGCCAGGTTCATGCACTGTCAAATACAAGGCAAAAGGTCCACTAAAAACCAACAGAAGAAGAACTGAGGAAAACGGGGAGGGGCGGGTCATTCCAGGAGGAGGACATCCAGCATGCGTGCTTCATTCAGCCACTAAAGCTCGTGTCTGCTCCCTGGTCGTCCCACCTCACCTGCAGCCCCAGCCGCACCCGCTTGGTCACCGCCGTCTCCGGGAATGTGGCCTGGACCTGCGGCACGAGCTTACTAGTCAGCGAGCCGCCCTCTGGACCGATGAGATCGCTCTCCTGCTGCACGCGGGACACCACGGCGAAGTACAGGGGGAAGTCTGTGGAGATGATGCGGCGGATTCTCTTCTTCCCTAACTCCTCCTGGCTCTCCAGATCTGAAGGACACAAGGGAAAGGTCATCATTATGAGACTGGTGAAGGTGTGAGAACTTTAAAAACACAATGGAGCATTTTTAGATTATCATCAGATCATGACAGCAGCATTTTGAAAGAGACTTAGGCCTTGTTTATATGGCAACACTAACTGATGATGTGAAGAGAAATGGGTACGTAGGTTTGAAAAGTGCCACAGGGTTAGGGTTAGTATTGTGCATGTGTTTGCACAGCAGATGGCGCTGTGCTCCACTGACACTGCACAACTCCTCATCTTACCTCCTGTTATATCCATCTTATTCTGTCCTGACCACTTCTGACTGCTACCAACCTCCGTTCTCTGAGTGGATTGAAAATGTTCTACAATTCTACATTTTTATTGCCAGTCTCTCTCTAAATATAAATGTAAAAGGTCTAATAGCATTATATTTTCTGATCAGACGTCAGCTTCATGCTGCCCACAGACAGCCAATCACTGCACTGCACTGTCATCCCTCCAGCAGAAAACCAGTTTGTCCAGTATTTATGAGCTCTGTGGGGAAGCTGGCCAAAGTGGTGAAAGCAGGAGGCAGACAAAAAATGTCCCTTTACCAAAATATTTATTTGTTCCTTCACTGTGGTTTTGTGGGCAAAATGAAAAATACATATTTACATATTTATCGCTGTGAGGACATTCAACAACCACACAATTACAATGTCCGAATCCCAAAACTAAAATATGACAATATCAGAACCAGAAACAAAAGTGATATGGTTCAAAAGACAAGAACAGATCGACTTTGTCAATAGACACATCCCACTGGGAAAACAAACATGGAGGTTTGATGCTCACTTTTTCAGAAAATCCTTCCCAGTATGAATTGCACAGTGACCGGAAGTCCGAGATTCTTGATGTGTCTATTCTCACTCTGCCTGTTATACATTTTTTGGCCTCTTGATGGTGCAGTGGATCAAATGAAGCACCTTGAAGCATCGGCTCAAGAGTCGAGCGAATGGATGGAACGCTTCAGTGCTTCATGGGGCTTCATCTCCACATCACTAGTATTTAGCTGTTTAGTTGTATTATTGAGATAGATGCAAAATGAAAAGAAAAGAAACAGGGACAAAGGCCATCTTTGTCACAAGCTCAAATAACCTCCAGTCTAAGTTAAAACTACCTTCAAACGGATTATAGATTGAGTAGACACTTGGCTGTGTGTAAACTACAAATATCAAAACATGACAGATTTGTGAAAAATTGCTGCCCTGCAAACAGCGCTCTGGGATACTCGAAAATGTACTTGATGTATGTTTTTTATGGGGAAAGTCTAGCTGTGAGTTGTAGTGTTGTGAGCTGTAGTGTCGGCGTACCCTCGTCCATGCCGTTGAGGATCGTCTCCAGGACCTCGTCTCCGTAGCGGTTGCGGTGCTCTTTCCACACGGAGCCATTTTCACTGCGCAGCACCACCAGCTCTCGATCTCCTCGGCCCAGAGCAGCAAAGTGAGGGATCTCCACTATCACCGGCCTGACACAAGAGCACACGTTCAGTCCAGAGACACATCGGACTTAAAGTATGTGTGTTTGTATATCTGTTAAAGGATGGACCTCTGGAACAACTGTACAGAAGATATAAAACTGTGCACCACTCAAGAAGTTTAAATGTTTAACTCTGGGCACATACATGAATTATGACGCTCCATTTGTGCTATAGTACTTTTCTATGCTGTTACTGATTTGTTTGTTTCCTCTTGCTGTATTTTTGAAGATGAACTGGTGTCAAGATGACGCTCTGACAAAAGAATAAAAGGTAAAGGCAAAATAGCCTCAAGCTTCAGCTGCCACCTTTTTGTTCTGTGTGTGTTAAATATGACTGTCTGTGGAATAATGTCAGAATATTCCTGTGACCCAAATAAATTAATCAATCATTAGTATTCTTTTCAAGCTTATAGACAGAAATCTGAAGCTATAATGATGGTTTATAGCTGGAATGTGGTTTTCACTAAATTCATCTTAGCTCTTTTAACTGCACTTGGTGATAACTGAAAGAAGAAATCTCACCCTAAGAACTGCATGCCGGCCGGACCCAGAGAGATGATCCTGCTGGCCAGCCCCTCTCCCTCCACCAGGGGCGGGGGGCTGGTGAGCTTCTGCGGTTTGACCAGGCGACAGGTGATGCGGGTGGGCGCGGCGCAGGTGCGAGGAGGGATGATGACCCGCAGGCCGTTGTGTCTGCTGCCGCGCATGGAACCCCCGCGAGCGTCCACCATGAAGCTCACCAGGAACCTACACACACACACACACACAATTACAGAAGTGATGATCCCCATTCACACGCAGAGGTCCCAGAACATTACCGGGTCTGCTCTGTTCACACTTAACTTAAATTTGACTGAGAAGGGAATGTAACCCCATAACCAACAAACCAAGCTCATAACCAGGAAACTAAATGTGGTAGTGCATTTTTCTTTGTTCACACATGAGCCTTCCCTGCACATTCACAGTATTTACCCAAAAAATGGCCAGATAGAAAATGCAGCTGGGGCTTTGTTCACAAAATGCAGGAATGTTCCTATGGCAAGTCAAACTGTTCACATTTACACCTGTATTTAACGTGTTTAACACCTTATTTGACGTGTTAAGTTCTTATTTGAAATTATTCTTATTTAACTTGTCAAATTATTCTACATATGATAATAATCCTCTCACTGTTTTTCCAGTCAATGAATTTAAAGTGTTTTCAGCCAATCACTGACCAAGACAAAGAGTCCAGAACAGTCCAAGCACCAGCAGGCTGAGTTCGTGTGTTTCATATTGTTTTCCTTTGACAATTGTATACAGACAATTAAATAATCATTTGTTTAATGAGAACTGAAAAGATAAATATGTTGAGGTGCACGACAACCGTTTTAAATTTGATAGATGAAAATTTACACAGTATAAGGTTTATTTTTTCAGAGTAAAGATTGTGTATAGGAACTGTTCTGGGCTCTTTGTCTTGGTCAATGATTGGAGGAGGATCATTATCATATGTAGAATAATTTCACGCGTTAAATAAGAATAATTCGACGCGTCAAATTGCTATTAAGCATGTAGTACGTGTCAAATAAGGTGTTAAAGGCATTATATATATTCGTAAATGTGAACAGTTTGACTTGTCATATGTTCCCAGGTCAGGCTGCATGTGTGAATGGGGCTAGAGATACATGTGGAGTGTGCTGCTCTGGACACTGACCCTGTGTGTATGGGGCTGGCCACAGGGCTGACATTATCAGATGTCTCTGTGGCCGGGCTGCTGGGGATCAGGGAGTCCTCGTCGTACTCTTTGGGCAGTGGGAGAGGAGTGTGCTGCTGTGGGACAGAACACAGTCATCACTTTCATGTTCAGTATACATGAGGAATCATTCACTCTTCTACAGCTGCACTTATATCACAAAAGTAGGCCCACTGACTACTGCGATACTGGCTGAATAAACAACTACCGTATTTTCCGGGCTATTAGTTGCTCTGGATTATAAGATGCACTGTCATTAATTGGTCTATTTTCAAACTTTTTTCACAAATAAACCGCACTGGACTTTAAAGGAAACCCAACAGTGTGATGGGTGAGTGGTTTTGTTTGTTTGTGGCGTTCTCGGTGACTCTGGGCTTTGTTCAGTTGTGGCGTGTAGGGAGGGTGCTGTCTGGGATTGTCGGATTGACGGCGTGTTCACAGTGACTCAGTTGTTCAGTTGTGTCTAGAAGTGGCACATTGCACTCGCTTTTTTGGTTCGTTCCTCTGTTCCGTTCCTCGTCGGCGTGGAGTGATGAGTGTGTCTGTGGGTGTGTTTCTCTGTGCGGTCGCTGTCTGCTCCGTGTGTGTTTGTGTGTTCTGCAGGTGATGCAGCTTTGTAGTTTACTGAAGTCGTGCTGGGACACCTGAGTGGATTCGTGTATAGGGCGCTCTGGATTGTGGGGCGTCGTTTTTTGATGGGGTTGGAGGTTTAAGAGCGTGTCTAACAGCCCGGAAAATAGGGTATATCACTATAATACCATGTTGGTCCATCTCACAATGGAAATGTGTTTTTAAATGCAAAAGGCAAATTGTATTTATTTTTATCAGGTCCTTAATTTCATCTTAGTTTTAAGTTTTGTCTGACTTGACAAGGCATGTGCACATACACTGAAATTATTACTGTGTATATTAAATTGAAGTTGATACTGCAGCGCTTAAAAGGTTGTATGGAGGATTTTTTTTGTTTGTTTCAAATTGTCCATGAAAGTTTAAAATACCATTACAGAGACGCAGCAGCCTTGTAATTATGACGACCAAAAAAGAATGAAAATCTATCAGCTGGACGTAGTGAGGCCAGATAAACATCAGCCAATAGATAACAAGGCTCCCTCATTTTCTATTGGCTGTTAGGTTGTCAATCAAACTCCCTACATTTCTAGTGTAACTGACTCGTCGGCGCGCGGGGATTACATGGTTTATGCAGCGGTTTTTAGAGGCTTTTACAAACTGTCACAAGTTTGTTGCGATGGCGGACAAGAATCCATGACCAGTTCGCCGCAAAAGAAAGTCAATTTTTGAGGTCGTTGAAAGAAGAAGAGAAGGGGAAAATTTTATCCTGATGCCTTCAGGACGTCGGTTTTATGCTCCAGTACGGAAAACCAAAAGGTTTTCTAATTCTTTCGTGCCCAGTGCTATTAAATTATTAAATTGTAAGGGTGCAGTTTTATGATAGTTTTATGAAAGTTTTACACTGCAATTTGTTATTTATTTTGAGTTCCACTGGTGGACGACAATTGGACTGACACACTGTGTGTTTGTTTGTGTTTATGTTTGCTCGGAGATGCTGCAAATGAATTGCCTTATGGGATCAATAAAGTTTTCTGAATCTGAATCTGAAAAGAAGCAAAGACAAACTGAAGTGATTCTTGGAGATTCCTTCCAGCGAATGCGTGACTGAACCAGACGAAGGGTCTAAAAACTGACGTGTCGGTCGCTAAATTACCTCTAGACAGGTCACTTCAACAGTAATTCTGAACACGCACTGTCACACATGCACAACATTTGAAAAAGGACTGTATTTGTATTTCACTTCCCTTAAAAAATCCTCTATACAATATATCGCATATAGCAACCTCCAGTATTGTTCACCACAATGAAAACATTATTGCCAGTCTCTTGACTAAGGAGTGTATAAATGTATAAGGCAGATTTGTGAAAACTTGTGTGTAGGCTTGGAAAAGTGTGGTGGGAGGAACCAAAGCACCTGGAAATTGACATAATATTATGATTAGAAAACTGAGCAGGGTTAGATCTGTCCTTAGAAAATCATTAGTCAAATACTATAAAACAAAATAGTCATTGAACTGTGCTCTTATTCATGCACACATTTATCTCACAATACTAACATGCCAGAATAATTTGCGTGAAGTCAAACTCCAGCACTTCTGCTCTCTCAAGATCCCCTTTAGTTTACTATTATACTAACTGTCCTTCTGTTTTCTGTTCCATGACCCAATCTGAGTGAACTTTGTGCAGTTAGTACCTGTTCCATCTCGTGCTCTTTGAGGTGGACGGTCTCTGGAGACACTCGGGGGATCCTGGGCAGAGCCGGGGAGTAGTTCCTGTGAGGAAATCAAACACCAATCACCCACAAGAACACTGGCACACACTGGCTCGTCTCCTCGGTGGTGAGTTGTATCCACCGCTTCCATTATCCCAATCATGTGTGCCCTACAGTCTGGCCTCACTGTGTGCCCTCGCCCGTGTCTGGTGGACATTCTGTGCCCCCGTCTGGTGCCTCCTATGGCTGCCTGTCCAATGTTCTAAGCCAGTTTTCCCGCTGGTTGCCCTACCCGTATTCAAATTGTCCTAATTTTTAGTGCTCCCAGTGACCCATGGTGCCTCCCCCAGCCAATCTAGTTTGAATGCCCCCCCCTGCCTGCCTAATTCCCCTGCCTGGTGCACCTTTGCTGTCTGTGTGCCTCAGTGTAGGTTCCTCGTCTGGTTCTGCTGCCCCCGTTAGGTGCCTGTGGCTGCCCGTATGTGCCTCTGCCTGGTGCTTCTGCTTGTTTCCCTGCATTGTACACCCGCCTTGTGCCCCCACCTGGTGCCTCTACATGGTAACTCCCCTACTGTCCATGTGCCTCAGCCTAGTTTCCCTGCCCGGTGAGCCCCCGCCTGGTGCTTCTGCCTGTTCCCCTGCATTGTGCCCCCGCCTGGTGCCTCTGCCTGCCTGTGTCTGCCCCCACCGGTTCCCCCCGCCTGGCGCCTCTACATGGTATCTCCCCTACTGTCCGTGTGCCTCAGCCCAGTTTCCCCCAGCCTGGTGCCTCTGCCTGCCCGCCTGGTGCCCCGCCTGGTGCCCCTTACGCTGTGCCCAGCCCTCTCTCGTACTCCAGTGATTTCTTGGGGGAGAGGAAATCGTCGTCATGGTCTTTGGTGTCATCCGTCTTCATGTACCTGGCCACTTCAGTCCCGGGCTCCTCGCCTTCAGAGAACAACATGCCAAAGAGATGCAACGTCAGGGGTGAGAGCAGCGGGCAGAGAGTGGACACAGGGTTAACCAGGGAGGGTTAGACAACAGCATGTTAGTGACATATCAAATGTTGCGCTAACAATGGGATGAGCACTTCATTGTCACAAACTACTCTATCAACTGGCCTGATTTGGCTTCAGAATCGAACTTCAGAAATATTCAGTATTGAACCAATCACTGTCTGAGGTATCAGGACTAAACTTGGACTAAACCACATATAAACTAGAAATTACATAACAAGAACTTAAAGGCTCTGTACCTGATTTTTTTTAACTCATATTTGAGCCAAATGTGTCTTGGCCCAGTACAGAAATATTGTATAAGCAGCTCAAAATAAGTGCACCATGTACTGCCTGGATCTAATTATAAAGCGTTTGTTGCTGGCATTGCCATGACGGCGAACTCTGCTCTGGAGTTGTGAAAAGCACTTCACTGTGGGGAATAATTAGGCTCGGAATGGATAAGGTAAGTGAAGAAAAACTTCTGAACCATGCAAACCATTTTAAAGTAACCATTATTGTTTTTCACGTTTTAACATAAAAGAAGTAAAAATCAGGTACAGGACCTTGAACAGTCTCTAAACTACACTACATCTTAACTAACCAGGTTAAACCTAATTTGCCAAACATTTCCAAACATGTATCAGCTCTTTCCACAAACATCCGTTCACAAGCAATTCCAAAAACAATGTTCCCCCATCAGTACGGGTCTACCTGCAGTCCTCCAGAACCTCCACGATGCACTGGAATCGTTGCAAAAGTCTCATCGGCCTATTCTACAGTCGAGAGAGAAAGCACCACACGCCATTCAGCATTCCCAGTGCTCTGCTACTATCTGAGTCAGCCACAGCCCATGAGCTGATAGTAGCTTCACTGTGAGACACCACGCTTGACACAGCACTACACAACACCACAACAACACCTCGCTACAGTGGAGCCAGCCCGCCACAGTCAGCCAGAATGGGTGTTAGACATGTGTTACTGGGAGTTACACTATGGGTGCTGTGGGTGCCATGTTGGTATGGGGCATGCCAGTGATAAACCACCAAAAATGACAGAGTGAGGTTGGAATGAAGCCACACACTGAAGGATGCGGAAGGTCAGGCCATACCTAATGTGAGCTGTGCAATTCCTATGAAAAAGTCAAACAAAACGAAAAATATATTTAAATGGTTTTATTTGCTACATTCAGTCAAAGTGTTTGAGATGTGTTCTAACTACAGCAGCTATGCACAGGACTCACCGAGCCCTAGGGGGCGCCAAAGCTAAATATTCACAACATCTAAAGGAACTGTATGTAATTACACTTTTATAAATGTCCTACAGTCACAACTGAACCTGTGTCCAGAGTCTTCACCTGCAGACAGAGACATGTCTCATTCTCAGTTTATGTTCAGGCCTCGTGTGAAGATCTGAACCAACACGATTCCCTCCTTGAGCTGCAGAGGCTGCACTAGCACTGACTCAGGACTGGTGCAGGTGCTGGGGTTTAGGTTGTGACCATTCAGATTCACTGGATTTTATCAGTGAAACTGGCAGCCCAAATAAGAGACTTGTGAGGCTCATTCTGCTTTCTGATTGGATAATCATTTTGAGCTTGAAAACCACAACACCAAATTATGAGATAAGCACCTTTTCCCTAAATCAGCATTATAATTATCAGTACATTTGATTTGAACAGGTTCATCTTGTATCTGAGGACAGAGGTTGATTCGTGTTTATAGAATTCCAAGTGAAAATCTTACATATGGTTCCTTTAACATTTGTCAACTGAACTTTATTTGAAAAACTGAAGTTAAAATAGGCCTCCTAGACGTGAAGTGAAACTGAATCCAATTCACTCATTTGATTCTTTTGCTGTGTTTAGGAAAAGTTGTTGTAGTGTTTTTTACTTATATTTCAAATGATACTGTATATAATACAATCTCCCTCTTCTTACAGAACCTTTTCCATCAGTGGCCCCTGAACTATATTTAGCCTCACATAAAGCGTCCGTCTGGACTGGTGCTTGTGCTTGTGTTTCTCACCTTCGTCCTCAGACACGTCCAGGATCTCGTCCACTGTCTCAGGGAAGCTCATGCGGTGCTTCTCTGTGGAAGACTGCACATGCACGCACACACACACACACACACACACACACACACACGCACACGCACACACACACACACGCACACACGAACACACACACACACAGATTAGGCGACCTGTGAAGCTTGTCCTTGTGTTTGTCACATGTGTGATTCTGACCATAGACATGTTCTCCTCGGTGACCAGCTTGAGCACGTCGATGACAGAGATGTAGCCCAGACGTTTAGCGATGGCCAGAGCTGACGTCCCGTTCTGAAGCACAGGACAGTAAAGAGTAATGTTTAAAGAGGAGCTAAATGAACGTTTTGGATCTTGCTACCATGTTATAACATTGTTCCCTCGTGATAAACATGCCTCAAGAGGTTTAAAGGATGATATATGCATGTTTGAGTAATATAGCGATCTCTCCTGGGCCCTATTTAAACCCACCTTGACTAACATCAGTTCCTATGTTATCTGTTAGCAGTTAATACTCCATCTAGTGTAATGCCCTATATTTAAGACAAACTGTCTAAGCTAAATCCTTCATTGTAGTTTCTGAAATTATTTTTGGACATCTCTTCTTTATTTTATTCTAGTGTTTATATAAAAAAGGCTTGAGAAATCCTACAGTTTTGGAATGAGTTCTCAGGTCCATGTACATCACTGTATAAAATGTGAAATACCAACACTAGGACGGGACAATAAATAATATTACAGTATTTTCTTGTCATCATGATAAAAGTCAACTCACTGTGACTCAGCCTTTCGATATTGTCCAAAAGTAAAGTGCACTTTTTTAGAAAAGTCTATGGCCTGACCAGACTGTCACTGTACTTCATGTCACCTTTTTGTCAGCGGCCTCTCTAAGCGTGGCCACTAGGGGTCAGTGTGGAGTGCTTACTGTGGTGGTCTCGTTGGGCTGGGCTCCGTGCTTCAGCAGCAGGGTGACGATGTCCGTGTGTCCCTGCTGAGCGGCCTGGTGCAGGGGGGTGTAGCCCAGCTGCACACCACACAAGGAACATGTTTAGGGTTTAGGTTACTTGACTTTAGCTCCGCCTACTTAATTCTTTCTGTGATACTGCACCAGCACAGAGAGTCTGCTGCAATATCACACAAAGTGTCTGGGATAGTGTCAGGGAGTTAGTTAACCTGGATTCTTAGTAACAACGTACCTGACTGATTGATGATTGATTGATTTGTGAAAAGAGGAGACCCAGACTTCTGGATGAGTGGCTAAGGTAACATGCTTATCTCAAATGAATTTATTTATTTATTTATTTATTATATCTGGACTCTTTTTCTTTTATTCAGCAGCTTTAACCTCACACTGCATCAAGTAAAGAGCATTTGTCTTGGAAAATAAATATGTTCACATCAAGTACAAGCCCGTTCAAAATGAGTGCTACTGTCAGAGACCCCTGGACTAAACCAGGACTAAACCAGGACTAAATCAGGACTAAACTAGGACTAAAACCAGGATTACACCAGGAATAAACCAAGACTAAATCAGGACTAAATCAGGACTAAACCAGGACTACACCAGGAATAAAACAGGACTACATCAGAACTAAAACAGGACTACACCAGGACTATACCAGGACTGAACCAGGACTAAATCAGGACTAAACCAGTACTAAATCAGGACTACACCAGGACTAAAACAGGACTACATCAGAACTAAAACAGGACTAAAACCAGGACTGAATCTCAATCCTGTGTCTGTTTTGATCAGAATACTTTCTGTTGACATTACATTTATGACATGGGTCGCCAAAAGAAAAATTCTGTCATGTGTACTTTTGTTCAATATTATCTTTGCTTTTGTATCATTTACCTTCTATGATTTTATTTGCTGTTATTTACTGTTTAGTGTCTTTTGTGTGCTGTTGTTGCATTTCCACAGAGGGTCAGTGGGGGGCGCTCACCCGTGTTTTGCTGTTGACGTTGGCCTGTTGCTGCAGGAGAAACTTGACCATTTTGATGTTTCCATAGTGACAGGCCACATGGAGGGGGGTGTATCCCAACTGCAACAGACACACACCTTTGAACACGAGCTGCGGCTCATTCTCACTGCTGCGACAGTTACCAAAACATGGTAAACAAGTAAGAGCAATGTTACTACTATATTACTCAAGTAGAAGTACAAAGTAGTGGTACAAAAAATGGGTAAGAGTAAAAAGTATTTGGAAACACTGCTACTCTTGTAAGGATAACTGTCAGGATGTAAAACTGTGTTCATCATTTAAAGTGAATGTAAGTGAAAGGACAAACGAGCCGCGTTCATACGATTTATGTGAACCTATCTGACACAGGGTGTGGATTTACTACCAAATAAAAACAAGGCCATATGAAAACGGATGTCACAGGGAGGAACATAGCAATCATGGATCGCATCATCAACAACAGCAAGCAATTGTACTTATACAAGTCATTCTTTATGTGCGCCAAGCTCTGCTCCAACATCAATCTGCTGTGGAGAAAACGACGCCGAATACAAAGATGTAATCTTATCAGGTGAGCATGGATACATGCAAAACGAACAGTACGTAATAGTTTTTGTAGACTTAAAACTTTTAATTTAATATCTGATAGTTTCAATTGCTCTTTGTTTGTTTATTTTACCGAGTGTGACCCAGATGAACGTGCTGACATCTTCTGTGTCCTCACGGAAAACCAAGTTTTACTTGGTTTCCGTTGGAAACCTACTTTTCAGTCCTGAACGCTCTGATTTCCAGTGTGAACACGTGAGTCGGTTCAAGACGAGAACCGGAACCGGCACGGTTCTCTGAAAACGCCTACAATGGGAAAGAATCATAACTTTTACTCAAGTAAGAGTACTGTGACTTCCATAAAAACTGAGTAAATGTAAGTGGATAGTACCGAGCTCTGGTAATACTTGGTCATTTGTACAATATTCATGTGAGTGTTGCTTGTGAAGCGTTTGGTAATGACCTCGCTTTAACCCTGAGCGGCTGCACACTCATTTGAGATTACAAAGAGTGATTCATATTTAATAAAGCCATTCTTCACACTCACCCCCGATCCCCGCACCACCCAATCATGTTCAAATATTCATCTGCACGTTTTCATGTCTCTGCCCATGGGACTGCAGGCTCCAGGCCGCACTCTGGACATGTGTCCACCTCTCAAGGACAAAGGCACCACCGTCCTGCTGACGGAAGCTCTCCTGTTGTGTTCAGTGTGACAGTATGACTTAAGTAGAAAGAAGTCGGGAATATATAACTCCACAATTGAGTTTTGTGGATAATTATCTTGAGAACTAAAATACCAGATTATTATTATTAGATTATTATAATGATAAATCATTTTGGGGAATAGGGTCATCTTAAAATCTGTTGACACTCAGACATGTTCTGACAATGAGGGTCATATTTGAGTCTTTTCTTTGTCTTTTCTTCTAGCTGCTCATAATATTCATGGTTATTTTCATTTCCATTATGATTTCACTTATATTAAATGTTCTATTGCATAAGAATGTAAATCTCTACTTGCCCAAAATCAATCAATAAATAAAAATAAATAAAAATAAATCAAGTGGGCGTACCCTTGTGGCAGCGTAGACAGACGCTCCCTGTTTGACCAGGATGTCTGCGATGCCCACGTGCCCCTCCTGAGCCACCAGGTGCAGCGGGGTCAGACCGCTCTGTGAACACACACAGCAGAACTATAACAAGAGCCATGGACTTACACTCAGATAATACTGCTTAAGAAAAAAGTCATTCATATTCTATTATCACTGTTATTATTAATTACTCCTGAGAGTTAGTCACTGTTACTCTGATTTTCTTTCTTTTTTACTTGTAAGCCTCCATGTTTGTTTTAATACAAAATGCATGTCTATCATTGGCTGAGCCGCCTGTCAATCAACTCCACTGGTGTTGAGAAGAGAAGACCTGGTTTCAGACTATGCATCTTTGTAAAATCTTGGAAAAGTGAGCAGTCTCTAAAAACTTCAAGATCCTGTAATATTTGTTAATCCAGCATTTGTTCTGTTATTGCATTGCTATTTAAAAGGATCTTAAACATGTTTAATCCACATGAGGGCTGCATGGAACTTGAAAATGTCGCGATATGCAATATGGCTGTTAAAGAGGAAAGACATGTGGACGGCTGCACAATATATAAAAATAAATAAATAAATGGCAAAAATGTCAATATTGCAATTAAGCCTAGGTATCATTAAAGGGCCATCTCATGCAAAATCAACTTTTCAGAGCTTTCTACCTTCTAAGAGTGATGTGTGAGCCTTGTATTTGTCACTGAAGTGGTTTTTAGATTGATTCGGTATTTTTTTAACAAATTGCAGCGTATTTCTGCCACCCTCCCACGTGACAACGAACTAAAGCTGCTACAACGATGATGCAGCAGACACACCTATGACACGTTTGACGTAGTAGAAAGCAGTTTGCACACCCCTAATATCAATATTGACGCAATAACTGATGCTGCAATACTCTCGATATATCGCAGTAACACCAAGGTTTACAATCTGACAAAAACGCACTGTATTTTTAAAAGAATATGTTAATAGAGTAAATGTGATTATGATTTGGATTTTTCTTATTTAATCCAAAATTAGCCTTGATTTAGTCTAGTTCTGTCTCTGTAACAAAAAATGAAAACATTTATTTTTTAGTTTTGTTATATCTGACATTAATGAGTGTAAAAGTATAATAATAATAATAATTCTAATTCTAATTTTCTCATGTATTTCCTTTGACAGAGTTTCGTCTCGTCTCGTCTCTTGCCTTGTTGCCCAGGTTGACGTTGGCCTGTTTGGAGATGAGCAGCGTCACCATGTCCGGTCGTCCCTCCTGAGAGGCCAGGTGCAGAGGAGTGACCCCCTGCAGGGACTCGGCGTTGGCAGAGGCCCCGTGCTGCAGCAGGCTGGTGGCCACCTCCAGCTGGTTCTGCTTCGATGCAATGTGGAGCGCCGTGTAGCCGTTCTGCAGAGAGGACGGACAGAGGAGGTGAGGAGGAGGCACAGAGGAAGAGGGAGACGTACAGAGGAGGGACAGAGGAGGTGAGGAGGAGACATGGAGAAAAGGTGACAAGGAGGGATTGAGGCCGGGAGGAGGAGGTGCAGAGGAAGAGGTGACAAGGAGGGACAGAGAAGGGGTGGAGGAGCAGAGGAAGAGGAAGAGGGTACAGAGGAGGAAAGAGGAGGTGAGAGGGTACAGAGGAGGAGTGAGAGGGTACAGAGGAGGTGAGAGTGTACAGAGGAGGTGAGAGTGTACAGAGGAGGTGAGAGTGTACAGAGGAGGAGTGAGAGTGTACAGAGGAGTGTGAGTGAGAGTGTACAGAGGAGGTGAGAGTGTACAGAGGAGGTGAGAGTGTACAGAGGAGGTGAGAGTGTACAGAGGAGGTGAGAGTGTACAGAGGAGGTGAGAGTGTACAGAGGAGGTGAGAGTGTACAGAGGAGGTGAGAGTGTACAGAGGAGGTGAGAGTGTACAGAGGAGGAGTGAGAGTGTACAGAGGAGGTGAGAGTGTACAGAGGAGGAGTGAGAGGGTGTACAGAGGAGGTGAGAGTGTACAGAGGAGGAGTGAGAGTGTACAGAGGAGGTGAGAGTGTACAGAGGAGGTGAGAGTGTACAGAGGAGGAGTGAGAGTGTACAGAGGAGGTGAGAGTGTACAGAGGAGGAGTGAGAGTGTACAGAGGAGGTGAGAGTGTACAGAGGAGGTGAGAGTGTACAGAGGAGGTGAGAGTGTACAGAGGAGGTGAGAGAGGGTACAGAGTCTCACCCGGGCGGCGCTGTGGGGGGAGCCTCCTTTACTGACGAGCAGGTTGACCACGTCCAGGTTGTTGTGGTGGACGGCCACGTGCAGAGGAGTCAGACCATTCTGGAATCACACACAGCTTCAGCACAACTGAAATCTGCTCAAAAAGATCCCTCCAGCACCTGACAATGTTGTTCAAGTTCATACTTTTGGACAGGGGCAATAAATGTGACATACAAACAGTTACCCGGCGTCACATCTTTATCTAGTTAAAAGTAAGTTTAAATTGCCACTTGTGGACATCGTTCTTGTATTTAGGACAGAAGTTTGTGCACTGATACACAGAGATAAGATTCTTATTTTTCCCCAACTTTTCTTCACAAACTGTCACATGATTAGGGATGTCCCGATCACATTTTTTTGCCAAGTCCGAGTCCAAGTCCTTTGATTTTGAGTATCTGTCAATACCGAGTCCTGTATGTATATATATATATATATATATATATATATATATATATAATATATACATACATACACACATACATACATATATATATATGTATGTATGTATGTATGTATGTGTGTATGTATGTATTTTATTTATCAGATACCTGATCGGACCTTAATGACCGAGTCCGGATCAAGTCCACAGTCACGTGATCGGATCAGGACAACCCTACACGTGACTGTTGTAAAACTCTGACCAGAAGTACTATTCCACCAATCCAAGGGATCATTAGAAAAATATGAAAACCTGTCATATGAATATAAGATTTTTAATGCTTAATCTGTAATAAATGTACAAATATTGGAGCAAAAAAAAAAAGCATCACATGAAAAAATCTACTGTTTAAAAATGTACTTATTTCACACAGATTTTGAGATCTAATAAAGCTTCAAATGTAAAGATTTGAGCTGAATTTTGTTAAACAGGAACAATTAAATTCACCACTCTTAGCTGAGCTGTCCTTTTGTTTAACTGTTGTTATATTTTTGTGTGCCTAAATTATGAATGTGTTCAAAATAAACCCTCAGCCTTGTCAGTTAGTGTCCGATAATCATCAAAAATACTGTGACTTTTCAGCCCAGTTCAAAAATGTAGTGGAGTACAAAGTACAGATACCTGCTTTCAAATGTTGTGAAGTAACAGTAGCTTAAGTAAAGTACAGATACCAAAAATGTGTACTTAAATGCAGCACATGACTACTTTTACTTTGTTGCGTAGAACAGAACAGATGTATTTCTGAGTGTACCTTCCCTGCTGCGTTGGGGTTGGCTCCTCGCTCCAGCAGCAGCTCAGCCACGTCCACCTTTCCGTATTTGGACGCCACGTGGAGAGGAGTGAAGCCTTTCTGTACGACACCACAAACCCAGACCTCCAGTCAGTCCCTGCACACCTCCCCTTCCCTCCCTCTTTCCCTCCCCCTCTTCCTCCCCGGGGCAGTACCTTGGTCATCTTGGTCTGCTGCGCGTCCGTGTCAAGCAGGATGCGGACAGTGTGCACGTGGCCCTCCCTGGAGGCGATGTGCAGGGGCGTGTGTCCGGCCGTGGTGCTGGAGTTGGGGTTGGCCTTTTGGTCCAGGAGCAGCTTGACCAGCTCTTTGTGGCCCATGCGAGCGGCGCAGTGCAGCGGTGTCTGGTCGTCCTGCAGAAGAGGGGACAAGGTATAGTCATGGAACAGTTTTGGTCGATATAATATTGTAAACTACACAAAAACATCTAAAAAATGAGTCATGGAAGAAGATTAAATTAAACATAAATCCTAATTTATACAGTGTTCTAATGAAAGGCAAACTCAAATGAACAGGAGGGATGAGCAGAGACAACATCAGAGCTCCCAGTTAAACAGTTTCAAAGAGTCTCATCCCAGAACATAAACACAATAAATATAGTAACTGTATTAATTAAGAACTACAGTCATTGTTGGGAAGGTGACTTTTAAAATGTATTCCCCTACAGATTACAGATTACATATCCCAAAATGTAGTTTGTAACGTAATCCATTAAATTACTTAAAGTGAGTAATGTAATCTGAATACTTTTGGATTACTTGATATTGTCATGTTTTTGACAACTACATGAATGTATCAACCACATCCTGAAAATTCTTATTTGTTCTCTTCAAAGTGGCTGAGCCCAAGTCTTCATGAACAGGTAATTGTTTGCTGTAGAGTAACAAAGACTAGGATCTTAAAAGAAGATGCTTTGTTTTATCTGCTAAACGAAAATAAAAAGCCCAGACTTTACTTTAACAGATTAAAAATATTATTGATATAGAAATGATTTCGATAAGAGATCAATGCTGCTTGAAATTATGTCCACCTACTGTTATTTGTCATATTATTTAGTCCTGGTTTTAGTTCTTATTTTAGACCTGGTTTAGTCCTGGTTTAGTCCTGGTTTTAGTCCTGGTTTAGACCAGGTTTAGTCCTGGTTTTAGTCCTGGTTTTAGTCCTGGTTTAGTCCTAGTTTAGTCCTGGTTTTAGTCCTGGTTTAGTCCTAGTTTAGTCCTGGTTTTAGTCCTGGTTTAGTCCTAGTTTAGTCCTGGTTTTAGTCCTGGTTTAGCCCAAAATGTGAAAACAGGAAAATACCACCATATAATCCATTTATTTTAACAAAGTAACTGTAATCCAATTACCACTCACTGAAACAGTAACTATAACTGAATACAGTTACTCATAATTTGTACTCTGATTATGTAATGCCGGTACATGTAATCTGTTACTCCCCAACACTGACTACAGTTGATGACATGTACTCATTTCAAGCCAGACTTTTTTCACTACCAGCTTTTGCCGCCTGCAGCATATTGGGTCTACTGTAAAAAAAAAAACAACAAAAAAAACTAAACTCCAGGGAAAATGAAATATGCATGAAAGGTGCTGTACCTGACAGACAGATGACAGATCAGTACTGCTGGCTTCTGCATTATATTCTGCAAAAAATGACTGTTCTAGAATAGTAATTCGTGTTGTGTTACCTTGGCTTTGGCGTCCACTGGTGCACCATTTTGGAGCAGAAACTCAGCCACCTCGATGTGCCCCGCCCTGGACGCCATGTGCAGAGGAGTCTCCACTTTCTGCACACATCACACGTGTTACTAGAGCATGTGCATATGTGTACAGTCCAGTCCTTTCAGAGCTCAAGCTGCTGTCCAGTCCAGTCAGATCATGTCTGCAGTAATGGAGAAGGACACTTTTAAGGTACTTGGTGTGTGTGTGTGTGTGTGTGTGCACTGTTGGGCAAGTTACTTTAAAACTGTAATGTGTTATTTATGACTTCTTCCTGTCATTTCAAAGTCATTTGTTACATTTTAAATGCAGCAATATTGTAATGTAAGACATTACATGACTATTGCAGCACATTTAAGTTACTCTCACTAAAATAACTGTGAAGATGCTGAACTTTTGCGCCGTATATGGACTGAACCAGGACTAAACCAGATCTAAACCAGCACTAAACTTGGTCTAAACCAGGACTGAACCGAGGACTAAACCAGAACTAAACTATGACTAAACCAGTGCTGAAACAGGACTAATCTTGGACTAGAACTTGGAATCTAGGACCGCCCCTGAGAGAACCCCGAAATTTCATGAAACAGGATGTCTGCAAGGCTCGATCGGGTGTTAGCTGCGGTGAGTACTGTGGAGCGTGGAGTTCTGCGCCAGTTCTTTCGCTCGCGGTTACCTGACAGTCTACACGGTCGCATCTCCGAAGTTTCATTGCTGTTGATGTCGCTGTAATTTTAGTGTCTTACATGGTATTTTCAGGTAAATGCTCAAATGTTGAACCTGATCACTTCTATTGGGATGTCACTTTATTTTTTGTCTCCCGATCCAATTTTTAAATATTTGCAATTCCCAGTACCATTCTTTAATGTCTTACAGAGCTGCTGCTTCAGAAAACTATTGACAGAGACATTAGGTCCAAAGTTTGGTTTTCACACTTACTAGACTTACTAGACTTGATTAGATTTCATAACTCATTCTATTACTTTATTTTAAGATAAACGTGTATTAAATATTTGGCCGTGAGAATGTTGTGATTTCAACTAAAACCCAGCAAATAATAACAGAGCCAGTGTGGGCAACCCGGCTGAGGAGCTGTTGATGTTTTCGTGCGTGGTGGAGAACCTTCTGCACTGGACTGGACTGTTGTTGAAAGCAGCGTGAGTCTGGAGATGCTGACAGACACTGACCACGTTGGAGGCGCTGGGCGAGGCTCCTTTCTGCAGCAGGATCTTGACGATGTTCAGGTGGCCCATGAAGGAGGCCACGTGGAGAGGGGTCAGGCCAGACTGAGGGCAACACAGGGGGCTCAGGTCAGTCAGGATGTGTGCGCTGACAGTGAGTATGTGTGCGGATGTGTGCGTGGGCTTTTATCACAGTGTCTATTATCACAATCTCTATACACTCACGTTATGGGGACCTGCATCACTTATGTGGACAAAACTCAGGTCCGCATGACGTGAATCCTTATGTCATTAAGAGAATCATTATGAGATCGACAACATGAGTTAAAGCTCTGGGTTCAAATTAGACCTGTCACAGTAATTACTCCATTCACTCATCATCCAATAAATCATAACTTTAACCTTTTTTGGGGGGCAAGTGGAGAAAGTTTGTAGTACCAAGATTTGAGAGGTGAAGGGCGAACACGTAACTTTTGTGATTAGATTTTGTGCAAAGGGTTGATAAGGATTGTTCTGCTTTAGAATTATTGTGTCAAGCGGCATAGTTTTAAAAGTTTGACTACTCTCATTTATCAAAATACTTTTCTCTCGCATTATATCACTTAAAGATGTGTTATTGTGACACGCCTATTTGAAACAGGTTAGGGTTTAGGCTAGACAAGTAGTGACTATTTATAAAGTTCCTGGACATGAATGAAAGTCAACTTAATGTCCCCAAAAACCAACAGGAGTGTGCCCTGACCTCAGTGACGGCCTCCAGCGACGCAGACTGTTTGAGCAGCAGGTCCATCACTCTCAGGTGGTTCTTCTTACAGGCGATGTGCAGCGGAGTGAAGCCATTCTGAGGAGAACCAGGAAATGGACTCAGGTAAGACCAAAGACAAGACCAAAGAGAAGATCACAAGAACGTTAAACCATACTTTACAGCATTCTACGAGGAACAGGTTTATTGTTTAATGTCCTGACAACATAAGAGTCCAGTTTGTGGAGGTGCACACCTGCTCACAGTCTGGCCGCAGGTTTTTCAGTGAAATAAATTTAACCAAAAAGAAAGAAAGAGGAAAAATGATGCTCCTAAAAGATGCTCAGATGCTCTTTTTGGACGTTGTTTTCATTATCTTAGCACGGGGACGATCAAACATGACCATTAATTTGAAACCGTATCCACCATTTGTCTTGACAATGACTATTTATTTCAAATATTCAAATATTTTCCAGTATGTACGTTTTAGTGAAATTCAGAAACGATAATGCTAAAAACTGCACTGAGAGACATGGTGATGATCGATATGGGCCCTTTAATGATCGTGTCTCTGACCAGTGCTGCGAGCCGTACCAGTGCGCGTGAGTTGGGTTTGGCTCCCTTGTCCAGCAGGGCCTTGGCCATGCGGTGGTGGCCACAGTGCGCGGCCACGTGCAGAGGGGTCAGGTGGTCCAGAGTGATGTCATCGATCTCTGCGTTGTACTGCAGCAGCTGCTTCACACAGTCCACGTGGTCCCCCTGCGCCGCCATGTGGATGGGAGACAGGCCGTTCTGCGGAGAGACGTACAAGGCAGTTTACGCAAGGTTCATTTTGTACACTCAGTTTTTGTCAATGTCATATTTTGGCTGACTAATGTGAAATAAATAATCATTATGATGAAAGCTATGATTAAAATCACTAGGGCTGTGATCAAACTAAAGAAATTATTGGTTGCGCGCAAAAAAGGGGCATAGCAAAAACTCTATGATAGAGAGAACTATTTTCTTTATTCAGTATTTTTCCATGTAAGTCCAGTAAGAGCATCTTCTCATTTGCAGCTGACGACCTGACCAAAAGACTTTATTTATTACTTATGTTGAAAATCCCCTTCCCTTCACTCTGCTTCCATTCTGGGCCCTCCCATTCTCCTGCCTTGGTTCATCCTTTGAGCTGCCTTACTTCTCCCCAAGCCTGTAATTACAGCCCAAACACTGTTCCTCCTCTTTACGCTGTGCTGGATGTGGCCGAGTGTCTAATCATCCAAATAGATTAGTTTGTAAATGAATGAGTTAATCTAAATTATTTTACTACATCCGTCCTTCCTATTCTCCAGTTTATTTCTGAAACAAAGAGTCGTATCATATCGGCCGACACCGATACTGGAACTAATTTATTGCCCGTCCCTGCTCTGAAAACATGAAAAGCGAAACCACGGTACACTTTTAACCCGAGCCCACGTCAAGCCTCTGCTCCTGAGTCTGACCTTGGTCTTGGCCTGGATGGGAGCTCCATGGTCCAGGAGGATCTCGATGATGCGCACGTGACCGTTCCTGGCGGCGCAGTGCAGAGGAGTCAGCTCGTCCTGGACACATACATGTCACACACGTGTTACACACATGTTACACACACATGACTGAAGCTCAGACAGACTCTGCTCTGGGCTGTGGACAGGAGTTCACCTTGGTCTTAGCGTCGATCTGTGCTCCTCGGTCCAGCAGCAGACGCACCATGATGACGTTGCCTCTTCTGGACGCGATGTGCAGAGGTGTGATGCCGTTCTGCAGACACACAAGTCACTCACACTAACAGCAAGTACAGGGGGAAGCTGGCTATGTGACCTGATGTGTGTTACCAGGTCTGTGTGCACTGGTCATATGGGGCAGAGCGAGGTACCTCTGGTCAGGTGGGGGAGTGTGTGAAACCTCTGGTCAGATGGGGGAGTGTGTGAAACCTCTGGTCAGATGGGGGAGTGTGTGGTACCTCTGGTCAGGTGGGGGAGTGTGTGGTACCTCTGGTCAGATGGAGGAGTGTGTGATATCTCTGGTCAGATGGGGGAGTGTGTGGTACCTCTGGTCAGATGGGGAGTGTGTGGTCTGGTGTGGTGGTACCCTCTGGTCAGGTGGGGGAGTGTGTGGTACCTCTGGTCAGATGGGGGAGTGTGTGGTACCTCTGGTCAGATGGGGGAGTGTGTGGTACCTCTGGTCAGATGGGGGAGTGTGTGGTACTCTGGTCAGGTGGGGGAGGTGTGTATCTCTGGTCAGGTGGGGGAGTGTGTGGTATCTCTGGTCAGATGGGGAGTGTGTGGTACCTCTGGTCAGATGGGGGAGTGTGTGGTACCTCTGGTCAGATGGGGGAGTGTGTGATATCTCTGGTCAGATGGGGGAGTGTGTGGTACCTCTGGTCAGATGGGGGAGTGTGTGATATCTCTGGTCAGATGGGGGAGTGTGTGAAACCTCTGGTCAGATGGGGGAGTGTGTGGTACCTCTGGTCAGGTGGGGGAGTGTGTGGTACCTCTGGTCAGGTGGGGGAGTGTGTGGTACCTCTGGTCAGGTGGGGGAGTGTGTGGTACCTCTGGTCAGATGGGGGAGTGTGTGGTACCTCTGGTCAGATGGGGGAGTGTGTGGTACCTCTGGTCAGGTGGGGAGTGTGTGTATCTCTGGTCAGGTGGGGAGTGTGTGTACCTCTGGTCAGATGGGGAGTGTGTGGTACCTCTGGTCAGATGGGGGAGTGTGTGGTACCTCTGGTCAGATGGGGGAGTGTGGATATCTCTGGTCAGATGGGGGAGTGTGTGGTACCTCTGGTCAGATGGGGGAGTGTGTGATATCTCTGGTCAGATGGGGGAGTGTGTGACCTCTGGTCAGATGGGGGAGTGTGTGGTACCTCTGGTCAGATGGGGGAGTGTGTGATATCTCTGGTCAGATGGGGGAGTGTGTGGTACCTCTGGTCAGATGGGGGAGTGTGTGGTACCTCTGGTCAGATGGGGGAGTGTGTCGTGTACCTTTGGGGTGAAGTTGACGTTAGCTCCTCTGTTGAGCAGCAGCTGGGCCACGTTCAGGTTCTCGTAGTGAGCAGCAATGTGCAGAGGAGTGAAGCCCGTCTGCAACACACAAGTCACTCAGGTCAAGGGAAATGGATGAATTAAGTAAAAACAAAGTCTGTATTTCTGATCAAATAGGCCTGAATACAGCCAGCGGTGTTGCCACATCTGTTTTGGTTTGTTTGGGCTCCTTTGTTTCCGCTCCAAACCCAATGCTTGCCTTGTAATTGATCTAAACCACTGGTGGCTTGAGCCTCAGAATTCAACCTAAATCTGCAGGTTTTGTGTTAAACATGTGTGAATGAAACAAAACACAACTCCAGAAACAACATTAGAACAAACATCAGAAAATAGCCTAATACAAGCCCTTGTAGCCTTTCTACAAGAACACTGTTGCTCTTGAAAACTCAAAAAACCCGCTGTGGTACCTTGCTCAGGACGTCCGGGTTGGGGTCGTTCTGTAGCAGGACAGCGGCGGTGCGCGTGTCATCGTTGCGTGCGGCGATGTGCAGAGCGGGCAGTCGCACTTTGCCTTTGGTGCCGTAGTTTATGAGGAGAGCCACCACGTTCTCATGGCCCTGCTGCAGCGCCACAGCCAGAGGAGTGAAGCCATCCTGGGGCACAGCACACACAGTCAGCACACACACACACGCACACACAGGAGGGCTCTGGACACGCTCGGGAATGACTACTACTCTACTGGCCTCTACTCTGCTGGACACAGTAGCACACTATACTCTAATATGTTTTTTATGGCTTATTTCTTATAATGCAGAGCAACCCATGGCAGATAAGCTCTGCCATTATTCTTGGGACATTATTTTTGGGTTGATATACTTAAATTATATGATGTAAACTAACAAACTCACCCAGAGCCCTTTTATTAACCACAAACCTTTAAGAGAATAGTGCGGTCACATTGTGTGCAGTTATCTCTTCGTATAAAAGTGTTTGTGCGTACTGTGTGTACCAAAAGCAAATCGACCTAAACAAAATATTGGCCTGTGCAGGAGATTTAAAGTGATACACTAAAAAGCCCCAATATCGGCGCGATATATCAGTCTATCTCTACTTTTAACATACATCAAAAAACATTCAACTGCAATAACTATTTGTGTCAGGAAACTCTTTGTGTACTTTGTGCTGCCGTTGCAGTAGTGGAAACTTTACTTAAATCAAAGTACAGATACAGGGGCAAATAAGTATCACATGGGGAAAAATAGCTCAAGTAAAAGTACTGTAGTGAACATCTACTTATAGGTTAAAAAGTAGTTTAAAAGTACTTCATACAGATTTTGAAAACTTTAGCAGAAACAACTGAATGATTGTATATTTCTACATGTGTATATATGTATATGTGTATGTATATGTATATGTATATTTGTATGTGTATGTATATGTGTATGTATATATGTGTATATGTATATGTTACACGTATACGTTTTAGAGATGGGACAAGATCTTGTGCCACAAGATCTCATGAGACAAAATTGCCACAAGACTGTACGCACAAGAGAAGTTTCTGTGTTTACATTTGAAGTGGACAAAAAAATAAAATAAAATAAAATAAAATAAACGGTTAAGGGCTGGTGAGTTCCATTTCTTGATGCTGCAGATACAATGACAACAAAATATTGAATTAACTAAATAAAAACATTGTTATAATTATAAACAGGACTGCCAATTTATTTATTTTAAATGATGTCAGAATCTTATCTCTCTGACCTAATTTCAAATCTCATCTGTTCTTGTGGAAATTGTGTCTAACACCAGCCCTAACACGTTTGCATATTCTGTTTGCTCAAAGTCAGGACATTTACTCTATAAACTATTTACTCCTAATAACGCCTCAGCCGTTTCAAAAGCTCTCACACCATAAAGAAAAACCTTTGTAGTAGAAAGTATATTTACAAGAACATTTATGCCTTTACAGGTTACTAGCTGATGACTGAAAAACACTAGCGTGGATGGGCCATAGACATGGAGGTACCTCAGTTGGAATGCTCTGATTGGCTCCGTTCTCCAGCAGAAACTTCACCACCTCCAGATGGTTCTCCTGAGCGGCCATGTAGAGAGGCGTAAAGCCCTTCTGTTTGCGGACACAGCGGCAGACAGGCAGACAGCGCCCCCAGCAGGTGAGAGCGCAGAGGGCACGGCACACAAGCACAGAGAAAAGAGGATGCACAGCGATGGGACACAGTACACACACACTGATGTAGAGGAGGACTAGAGGAGGACTAGAGGGGGCTAGAGGAGGACTATAGGGGGCGTGTGGGGTCAAACCTGGGACTGGGCATTGACGTTGGCGCCGTAGTTGACCAGCTCAGTCACCACCTGCTCCTGTCCTGCCAGAGCCGCTATGTGCAGGGCTGTGTTCCCCTTCTGTGGGCACAACACACACACAGCTCAGAGGAGGGATGTGCGACTGTTCTTACTTTTATTTTGTTTTCAGTATAATATAATAACATAAACTTATTTCTTTACTTCAGTCTGCCTCAAATCAAGTTGAGACGACCATCTAAGCCTAATTACCAGACTGGTAGGAACACAACAGTTGCATAGTTGCTGTAACAAGATGCAAAATAGTGTAATCTGATGAAGTGTCTTGTACAAGGACACAACAACAGTGAGAACTGGCCACCCTTTGGTGGACAAACAGCTGACTGACTGTACCACTGTAGCAATGGGGTGTATAATAAGTGTTAAACGGGCACTATGCACATGTTCTGATTTGTGACAGTACAGCGTTAAACCATCGAGGAAAACATCTGACATCAAAAGGCCAAGTCACATGTCAGATCTGTGGAGAGATGACCCTGCTCACACTAAGAATGCATCGTTTATGTGTGTGTGTGTGGCCCATATGTCCTTCAGCAGTGCTTATAAATTTCTGAAAATCTACCTTGATATCAGATATTGAGTGTGTACTGTTGAGAATCTAAGTCTGAATCAATGTCCAAGGTTCATTCTGACCTGTTCTTAATGGCAAAGGAGAAATGCAATCAGTCAAATGGACAAACATTTATTTTGAGATTGAAAATGTTTTGCAGCTCATCCAAGCTGCTTCTTCAGTTCTGGTCAGATGCTGGTGAACATTCCACACTGTCTGCAGGGAGCAGCTAACTACACTGAACTATTCTGAAACTAACTCAACGTACATATTTCAATTGTTGTACTGTATTTACCATCAATCTGTGGCCCTCCACTTCATCATGTTTTGATATACTGCCCATGAAGAAAGGCCTACGTCATCAGAGGTATAATACTCCCTACAACAGAAGCATAGCCAGACTGGACTGCTGTAGCCTGAGTCATGATGTGTTGAGGGTTCATGTCCCTGGTGCTGGGTCCTGTACTACTGTAATCATATTTCTCCAGCCTCTTGCCTCTTCTCCATGTCTCAATCTGCTCCAGTTGATTCTACAACTCTGCTGCTCTGCGTAATGTGTTTGTGTTTGTGTAATGTATGTGTTTACATTATTGTCTGTGGGACATTACTGTCTCACCTTGGTGGTGGTCTCCAGGGTGATCCCATTGTGCAGCAGCTCCAGCACCATCTTCACGTGACCTTCTTTGGAGGCCAGGTGCAGCCCGTTCAGCCCATTCTGAGGAGAGCACACACAGCTAAAGACAGAAAGTAACGAACCACCTCCTGTACAAACCTGACGGAGGGTGATATGGCATTTTCACAATCTGAGCACAATGTTTCTCAGTATCTTTTTTAGAGTCTTTAAGAGGTAACTAAAACTGTCTTCTGTTTCTGAAAGTTCACTCTTCACTGTGACTGGTTAAATCCACCTGTCACTCAGAGCAGGACAGAGGACGACCAATAGAGTTAGTGGATGGTGGTAAGTGTCTGTCACGATATGGTGGTTTTACCAAAATAAGATGAGATCAGGTTTGGATTTTAACCTCCATATCGCCGTGCCCTACACAGTCACAGTGATGAGGAGGAGCGCACATGCCGTCAGGACATCACATGTTACAGAGGGTCCATACTTACAGAGCCACAGAGCATGCACATGTAGGGGGGGCGGGGATGGGGGCGCCGCTGGTCTCTGGTCCCGGAAGAATATGAGGCGTGTGGGATAGGTCCGACCTCACACAGCCCTCTACAGCCCACAGGACATGTGAGGTTGGACCTTTACCACATCTGTGACATGATTCCTCTGAGCGGAGAGACCACAGCGCGCCATCACTGCTCTCTGTGAGGAGGGGGTGGGGTGTGGGAGGAGGGGGCGGGGTATGAGGTGAGGGAAAGGGAAAGGTGAGGAGCGGGCGGGGCCAGTCAGAGGAGATGGGAGGTTTAGAAGGGAGGGCGGGGCTTACATGAGGTAGAAAGAGGGGCATGTGAGGAGTGGGTGGGGTTTGTGAGGAGAGGGTGGGGCTTATATGAGGCAGAGGGAGGGGCTTGTGAGGAGAGGGCGGGGTTAGAGAAGGGGACATGCTGGAAAACAAGCCACTGGAATCACAGTAAGAACACAGGTGCAGAACACATGCAGTTTTCACACTGAAAAAAACCTGAGGGTGTCATGTATGTCAATATGAACTGCTGTTTTGGGGCAACAATTACTGGGGTAAATCATACATGAAAAGTATGTGGGGATGGTAGTTAGGTAAGGGTCGCTATGGCGTTTTTTAATTTGAGGTTTTAATATATTTCAGCACATGGAGCGGCATTCAGCTGCACAGGATAAGAAACAGTGTAGGAAATGTACTCACTCATTTTAGATCCACTATTACTACACATGATGGTTCCTCCACTGCGGATTAGTTTATGTCGTTTCATAATTTAGGTCTGCTGGGTTAAAGTGAGTAAAAACTAGCAGAGTATGTTTCTTTACCCTGCTATCTATCTAATCCAGGGGTCTCCAATTTTTTTCCTCTGGTGAGTTACCTTTACAAAATGAAAATGCCACAAAGCTACTCATTTTCACGGTCACAAAAAACTGAGTAAATATAAGAACCACGGCCTTAGATAAGGCACAGGTCGATGCCGATAAAACATAAACCATTATCTATAGTAGTGTACAGAGTTAGACATCAAAATTCAGTTCTGTTGGAAGTATCTGGGTCTGCACATCACTGACAGACTAACTTGGTCCACTATTGCAGCTAGTATTGTAAAGAAGGCCAACCGGCATCTGCATTTTTTGAGGAGACTCAAGGCTGCTGGATTAGGCCTCGCTGCTCTCAGCTCTTTTTCTAGATGTGAGGTGAAGGTGTTGACCAAGTCCATCACAGTGTGGTACGGCCACTGCTCAGCCCAGGACAGGAAAGCTCTACAGCATGTGGTCAGAGAGGAGGAGAAGATCACTGTATGTGACTTTACACCCATCAGTGACATTTATGAGGAGCGTTGCAGAAGACGGGCCTCCAGGATCATGGGGGACCCCTCGCACCCCTCGTGTGTCCCTCTGCTCTCTGGGAGGAAACTGAGGAGCATTAAAGCCAGAACATCTCGGCTGAAGTTCAGCTTCTTTCCTGAGGCTGTCAGACTCAGTGCACACTGACTTCCTGCCCGGGCTGCCTCTCTATCTTGCCATGTTTTACTTGTACTTGTCTATTGGAACTGCTAAATGTTGTTGTTTTTGATGTATTTACTTTTTAATATTGTTTATTTATTATTGTTTTGATCTCTCTCTGGATCACTGGGCCTCAGGGAGCACATTTCGTTCTGTCATGTGTTTCTCTCACATGCTTGAATGACAAATAAAGAACTTTAACCGCATAAAATAATACATGCATAATGGCAATAGGCATTTAATTAATCATATTTGACTTATTCAGCACAATACATGTACAGTAATTCAGAAATCCCTTGGCGAGTTACTTGGAAGGGGGAGGAGAGTTGGAGACCCCTGATCTAATCATTTTAGGTTCCTAATCTCTGGTGTATCACTATGGTCTGTGGATAAAACATGTCACAAGATGATGAGGCGGAGTTCAGAGTAGAGCTGCTGCTCCTGCACACTCTCCTGAATCCCTGTGAAGGAGTTTGAGTGAGTGTAGCATGAACAACTCTCCCTCCTGTTTTATCATATGGACTTTTGTCAAGTTCAAGCCCTGCCAAACTGCACCACAACACTGTCCTCTGTTTCAGCGCCAAAAACATGCACAACACACTACATGCAAACATCTATTTCCACAGGATATGATGCCACATACTTGATGATGTCATTTCCTGCTCTCACCTGATTGGCTGTGTTTATGTCGATGCCATTCTTGATGTGATCCAGAGCCTTCTCCAGGTTTCCCGAACGCGCCGCTCGGAGAAAACTGTTCCCAGCATCTGCCTGTGGGAGTGAGGACAGAGGACAGAGGGATAGAGGACAGGGGACAAGGTACAGAGGGACAGGGGGCAGGGGACAGAGGACACATACAGGGGCAGGGAGGGACAAACAGTGCAGTTAGAAATGGGAACACTATATGAATTTGAAAAGCGAGAGTAGTCTGTCCAGTTTCAAATTTGGAGCTCTGATTTGACCAAGAAGTCCAAAAGTCTGGGTCTTGGACTTTTGACCCGGCAAGTGGGATAATGAGACCAGAAGGGTACAGTGAATACAACGCCAGTTTATATAACTAACAATTTTCAACAATACGCAACAAAGATTAACCCAGAAACATTCAAGTACTGTGTGAAAAAGCATGTCCCTACAAGACTTCCGTAGATGTCCTGTGATCAGCGTAAAAAAGGTAGACAAACGTTAAGCTACGACAAGTCTGTAAGCAAATGACCAATATGAGGACACAACAACACACACAAACTTTGCAATGAAGAAAAGTGTTATTTCTCAGTGAGTTATTGTTCGCGTCTTGCTGAGCAGTAAATGAAACGATGTGTCTAAGTGGTTTTCAGATTCCTGACCAGACAGAACTGCACTTGGTCCAAACTTTACAAAGACGAGTGGATCTGAAGCTCTATCCTGTCTCCCTGATTTGAGAGGCTCTGATTGACAGGCAGATTAACCAATCAGAGAGACGCATGCTCCGCTCATATCAAAACAATCACAGCTGTAAATCATGCACCGTAAAAGATGAGAAAAGAAACAGAAAGGACTGAGAAACAGGGCAGATTTTTACAGAATCAACAATAAAAGCACCAAACTATGACTTATCTCAGGTAAAAGAAGTGATATATTTTGTTCTAAATGTTATGAGGCTTTTCAATAGGAGATGTCTTTTGGATTTGAGAGGCACAAGAGCGTTGGATGAACCGTTCAAAGTTTGGGCAGAGGTTTTTCATGCTCCAGACCCTCCTGAATTTGAACAGAATGTAGAAGAGACCGTCTGCTCAGGGAACCAGATGAGACAGTTTTTCCTGTTTGTTACATTATAATTTGCCATAAAATGTCACCAACACAAATCTGCATCTGAACATGAATTTGAGCGGCTCCATCTGTGTTGAAAAGATCGGCCTGTAGAATGTTGTGATGTCATCAGAAACTTAATGCACAATGGTAAATATAAATATTATTTGTATTAGTGATGGGCAATGCCATTTTTGTTTTAATCTGATCCCAAGTAACACTACAGTATTAAGATAAGTATCGCAATATTGATCCGATACCAATATATTTTGTATTAAATGCATTGAAACTTATATTGCTGTGTTTCAGATGAAGTCATGTTGACGTCATGAAAAGCAGATGGAGTCAGAAAATAAAGACAGACGCACAGAACCTCGTATGTTTCCAGTGACTCGACACCAAAATGCCTAAATTCTGTGCAGACTATGGTTAATGCAACTGTTCTAACTGGGAGAAAGACAAACTTTTTTTATGTACCGAGAGTGGTGTGTCACAAGGGTGTTAGTTTTTTTTTTTTTTAAAGTACAGAAAAAAGATGATAAAAGTGGATCGACAACTCTAAAAGCAGAAGGTGAGGAAATGCAGCAACCACTTTGTAACAGAAATTTTTTTTTGTGTCATTTATTAATTAATATTTTCAAAGTTCTTTTTTTTTGACTACTATTTAGAAACACAAACCTCGTAAGTGACAGGGAAACTGTTGCATTATAATTCCTAACTTGTCATGCAAAGAGCTTTATGTGGTGCTCATTTTATCAACTTACTGCTGTAGTTTTTAATTTTATATAGTCTTATACCTTTTTATAAACCCAACCAGATACAAAATCGTTGTGCGTCTCCAGGCTTTCAAAGACTTTCATTTGGCTCAGTGTAATACAAGGTCTGCAACACCAAATCGTTTTATCATATCCATCTCCTCAACGTCGGGCAAATCCTCCAAACTGTACAAAAAGTCCGACTTCATATCGTACGAGTCATAAACCGATATTTAGACTGATTTCTTCACGATAGCGGGTCTGTGCTGCCTGTTCAAACTCATCAGGATCATGTGAGTGAAACCCGGCAATACAAGCGCTGTTTACTGTCTGTATCAGGATGTGCGCTTTTGCATGCTAGTGGTTGTTTCCTTTAACATCATGGTGAATAATATGGATGTTCTAAATGCATAAGGTAAGTGAGGAATAACTAACGACTGGACTGTTTCAAATGTACTAGTTGTGTTTTCATGTTTTAAGACTCAAATACTACACTTTAAATATTTGTGTACTAGTAAATCAACTAAAATGCCAATATTGTATGACAAAAATACATCGCTCTTGCCTATCACTCGTTTTCTTTCACACAAACTCACAACCACGACAAAGCTTTAAAGGCGCACTGTGTAACATTTTGAGTGAGGGTTCGCAACTGCTTGTATCCGTGTTCCTCACTCATATCTCCATGGAAACAAGCAGGTGACAACACCAGAAAATACATGTCATTTTGAAACTGCTGCAACTAAATAAATGCAAGACTCCAACTATTAATATCTCCATGGAGACAAGCGGGCCCCAGTGGGAAAGTTACATACTGCACCTTTAAGCTCGACCGATACAAACTAGAGAGACACATCCACACAAGGCTCAGCTGTCCGATTCAAAAGTCCCCTAAACGCAGCTTGGCACCGGACATTCTCCTCCTCCTCTTCTTCTTCTCCTCTCTCCTTCTCTCACCTCTCCCTCTCTCCTCTCTCCTCCTCTCCACGCGTCCATCCACCTCCGGGACATAAATCCACCGCTCCGAGCCTCAGTGCGAGTGCTTTTCCTGGGCTAGAGTAGATCGGAAAGGGGCTGGAAGTCTCTGGGAGTGTGTTTATGCGTGTCAGAGGGTGTGTGTGTTTCAGTGTGTGTAACTGTGTGCGTGTTTGTGTGAGTATTTCTTTTCTTCTTTTTAAAGGCGCAGGGGAGCGACGGGGCCGAGCGCATGCCACTGCAGAGGCCTGGCAACTAATGACACACAGAGACTGAACAGGAGCGCATGATACCATAGATACACAGAGAGAGGGACACGGAGAGAGAGAGGGACGGAGAGAGAGAGAGAAGGGCAGAGAAAGATAAGGAGAGAGGGGTGGAAGAGGGGGAGAGAGAAAGAAGGAGAGAGAAGAGAAAAAGAAGAGATGTAGAGGAAAGAAAAGAGAAAAGGTTTGGGAGGAGTGAAGGAGAGTGAAAAGAGGAGTAGAGAGAGGAAGGATACAGAGAGTGAATAAGGAAAGAGATGAAAGAGGGGAGAGGAGGGATAGGGAGATAGAGAGAGGAGAGAAGAGTCTAATCCATCACACGCACACACACACACACACACACGGGGCTGGAGTAAGAGCCGAGCAAACACAGCTGATGCTCTGCACACACTCAACAAGGAACACTACTGGCCCCTGTGTGTGTGTGGCCCCTGTGTGGCCCCTGGAGCTGGCCTCACATATTTAGAGTCCTATATTGTGTAAATGTGTTTTTTCAGTTGCATGTTTCTGTTTCTGTGAGATGTGAGAGGGCTGGGAGTGTGGTGAGCACTCGCCTCACAGCAGAAGGTCCTGGGTTTGAGTGATTCTTTTAGTCACACTGGAGAGTTTGTTTACCTGCTTCACATGTTTCAGACACTTCTGTAGCTTCCTCAGAAAATTTTATCCTGCAGCTAAAGATCTACAGGTGGGACGAGGGCTCCTGACAGGAACAATGTGCAGAAGCAAATGTTCCTACAGGACAATAAAATAAAGTCTACAAATAAAAACAACACAAGTCATTCAGTTCTATAGAGAGGAGCAGGCTAAATGAGGCTAAAAACAATACGAGCAGTAACTGTTGGTATGTTTGATTTGATGAACTTGAACATCAACCTTCCCAAGGACGACAGGTACAAAACATCTGTCCCTGTACATAAACAAACTAAACTAAACTCCAGCTTCAAAGTGTCAGTTCATCACAGTGAATGTCTTATGAGCTGTAATGATCAGATTAAACCTGATGCCCTACACCAAACCTGGACATTGTTCAGCTCCAGGGCCACATACGGCTCTTTGATCGACTCTGACTGTCCCCTTTAAGATCATCTGAAAACAAAATAAACACATTTTATCATTTCACCTCATGCATGGACTAAATCTGCATTGCTTTTATTTTAATAATAAGTGGTTTTTGTTTTGTTTTTGTTTGGCAACCTCACTTCTACATTGTTTAGTCAAACATAAACTTTTCCCACAGCAGCTCATCTAAACAATGACATTTATGCTTTTTATAAAGAAATACAATTCATACTCTGCAGACTTGAGTTAAACAATATTTTCCACAATATTTTCTGTTTCTCATGTGGCCCTGTAGAAAAAAGCATGTCTCAGCTCTGCTCTGCACTGTGGCCTCTGAGTAAAGTCACAAACATGGAGGAGCTGAGAAGGTCTGTGTGGAGGAGATAAGACCACCACACCCTCCAGCTGAGAAGATACAGTCTGTGTTAGGTCAGCAGGTTTATCTGCAGGTTGTGGGTTAGATTCTTGGGCCATTTTAGGCCTTGCACTTTCTGCTGTGGATAGTTAACCTTCCTGAAGGAGCTCTGGGCCCTCATTACCTCCAGCTGGGTGCTCCTCAGCCATGTCTTACTCAAGATGAGATTCTAAATGTAATTAATTGAATTAAAGCTAAATGTATGCTCATCTTATATTATTTAATGTTACGTAATTTATGAAACTGACTTTTGTTTGTGTCTTGTGTCTAAATGAGCACATATACTAACAGCGATTACCCTCCTTGTTTTGCCACACAAGTTGTGAACCCCCCCGTCTCCTGAACAGTGATGCAGGTGGATGTGTGCACCTGAGCTAACCACTCTGCCACAGTCCAGTTTAACCTGGAGGGCAGAGAAAGGCCTGGAAGAGGAAGAGGAGAAGCAGGAGACATTAATCACACACACACACAAAGACCATCACACACACATTATAGAACCAACACAATGTAAACAAC